AGCTGCCAGACCACTGTTTTTCTTTCTGTCTATTCCCCTCTTCATTTGTGTTCTCTCTGTGTCTTCTGTTCTTCCAAACCCTGTTGTCATTCTCCTTGTCTTAAACATCACTTCTCTCCTTCCCTTTCCCTCTCCATTTGTTTCCTCTTCTGCCCTCAAATCACTTTCCCCAGTACAGTTGAACCAGCAATAAAATAACTTTGCAGCTCTCTGCCACTGAGAGAGGAGGAGGAAGAGTCGAATCTGGGGGCATCTTGCAGTTCAGGTAGTGCCAGACACAGCTCACTGGTTTCAGTGCTAAGCAAAGCTACAGCAGTGGGAGTGGCAAAGTGACAGGTGTTTCATGGAGACTATCATACCCTACTTTATAGCACACTAGCCAATTGCTCAGGTCTCTTATCTATGAGAATGGCCTTCAATGGGAGCAGGAGACGTTTGTGAAGATCCCCACTCACACATTTTTATTTTTATTGTCCAAATGAATAGTCCATGGTAACCTGTTCCTTCATGTTTTCTTTCTACAGATGGAGATTCATTTTAAAGATGTTTTGCATGCTGGATTTCATATCATTTTAGGTCCATTGAGAAACTTCTTTCTAGGAGGGTTGGGGAAGAGGGAGATGTAAAGGTCTACAAAACAATTTACTTCTTCTGCCAATAAAAATACCACCAACAAAGAAAACTTGAGCAGCTCATATGATAGTTCCTTAGTTTCTGAGAACGTGTCTTATGTTGCACTAACAGAATCAGAAATTTCATTTAGACATTATCTTGATAGGCTTAACATTTTCAGAATTAATCTCTAAATAATGAGGAAAAGCATATAGGTGTGGCATTATTGGAAATACTTTTTTTCACAGAGAAATGGTGTGAGATTTTTCTACTGTATTTCATGTTTCCCCATCCCAATTTGTCATCTTGTATTCTGCTAAACTACAGACCAGGCTTCAACTGTCCCCTGTCTAACTTCACAGCAGGGTCTCCCTTGGAAAATGTTCAGATTGTGCGAACAGAATAGTCTGCTATATAGAGAGACATTTATTTTATATCCTGATTTGCCCAACAATACAAAAGATCAAGAAACTCTCTGAATCAAAGTTGTTTAGGAGCTAAATTGATGGGTGTCCTTTAATTATTTTAATAATCTGTATCAGTGGTTTTCAACCTGCGGTCCATGGATCCCTGAGGGTCTGCAGACTATGTCTGAGATTTCCAAAGGGGTCCGCACCTCCATTCAAAATGTTTTAGGGGTCCACAAATGAAAAAAAGATTGAAAACCACTGACCTACTGGATGGCCCCATTATTCTCGGAATTAGGGACAGCGCTGGGATGTGCACTGATAAAATTAGATTAGAACTGGCCAAAACATGGAAGAAAAAACATGCATTTGAAATGTTTGACTTTTATTTTATCAAAAATTCTAAATTTAATTTTTTTTACTATTCTACATGAGATTCTAAAAATCAACGTGGTGCCAGATTCTGAACCATATGTACTGTAGGCAGAGAATTCAAGTAATTACAGAGAGAGAAAATGCCTCTCTTTTTTGCTAACTCACACACATGCTTGCAAGACTATATCCTACGAATAGACATATGGACTGGGGGCACAGTAAAGAAGTAAGCTACACTTCCCATATATATTTTTTGCCTGCTGGATAAGAAATGGAATTAATGTCAGTCAAGAAGACAGTCATCAAGCTTTGGAGGGAGAGAGGATTAAAAATAATCTCCATTTTACAGTTTTTATACAGTGTCTATCATAGTATTGAAGTGCTCATTAACCTAGTACTAACACCTAAAAGCCATAGATCTAGTATCATTATTTAAATACTAAAATTGGTGTTAGTCACATTAGCATGTATACATTGTTAAAGATACTATTTTACTCTCTAAAGGAGATGTTAATTTTTTAAAATCCCCTCTTGTATTTCATAGGTCTTCTGTCTTTTGGAGTAAAAGAATCCGCATGGGTGAATAAGATTTTCACTGCTGTTAACATCTTGGTTCTCCTCTTTGTTATGATTTCTGGCTTTGTGAAAGGAGATACTGACAACTGGAAAATAAGTGAAGAATCTCTCATAAACCTCACAGCACAAACAGGGTAATTTTTCTTTTTCTTTTCATCTGTCAATTTTCTTCCATTTTTCTTGGTCCTACTTTAAGCAGCTTCTGATGACCGCTCCTGCTGTACATGCATCTCTGGTATCCTATGCATTGTAGCAACAGGTTTAGATTTACTGTTTTGTTGGGAAATGTAGACTTGTGTCTCGAAACAGAATTAAATTTTATACTAATTACTTTTTTGCCTTTTAGTAATCTCTATCTTAGCTACCTGGGAAACTATCGGTGTATATTTTTAAAGATAGCTATTTAACTGCAGTACAGGATGTGATTAACAACAAGATATTGGACCTGATCCTGTACCATTAAAGTCAATGGGTGTTTTGCCATTAGTTCCAATGGGAGCAGGACCGGGGTTTATAATGTTTATTTGATAATCCAGTTTTTTCTGTTGTTAATGAATATCTGGTGATAGAAGATCTTTATCTCAAACTTCTTACAAAGATATTTTGTACTGAGAGCTTTGTAAAAAGATCCTTATCTTGAGAATACTCTGCATTTTAAAAGTGTTCATGTAGAGTTACTGGGGATAAAAAACTATTAGATTTCTTCTACTGCAAATTAAAAATGTCTTTTATCTGTTGTATTTCAATTTTCTATAGAAATTATTCTTCCTATAAGAACGTGACAAGCATATTTGGGGCTGGTGGTTTTATGCCATATGGTTTTACAGGAACATTGGCTGGTGCTGCAACATGTTTTTATGCCTTTGTGGGATTTGATTGCATTGCAACAACTGGTAAGATGAGGTTTCTCTCTCTCTCTCTTTCTCTTTCTCTTTTCTTTGTGTATGTGTGTATATATATATATTTGAAGTAAAAAGTTTGTGGCCAAACTGTGTAACTTTATATATATCCTACTCTTCGTCCCTGTCTGCCTCTGTATTTGTCTGTCTATCTCTACTCTTAAACTCTATCACCATGTCTAGAAAGAGACTGAGATCACTCCTGAATGTGGCTTTCTCATTCCACAGAAAAACAACATTACAGTGTGAATAAAATTCTCTTTGCCTGCAGTTAGCTGCAGTGGCAGAGTGTGAAACTGATCAGCACAAGCTCTTTCTGCTAAGCCCATATAGCAGGCATCTTGTCTTTTTTTTTAAACTAGCTTCATTGTAGCTTTAGAAAAAACAAACTCAGAGGCTGCATATTCCTTAGAGCTTCTTTTAGACTAATGTGAAATTAATACTTATGAAGCTCAACACAGTAAAAGATCAACAACTTACTTATCCTCTGGAAAGGTATGGTGCAGGCAATTCACACAGAATATAAGAACGGCCACACTGGGTCAGACCAATGGTCAGTCTAGCCCAGTATCCTGTCTTCCAACAGTGGCCAATGCCAGGTGCCCCAGAGGGAATAAACAGAACAGGTAATCATCAAGTGATCCATCTCCTGTCGTCCATTCCCAGCTTCTAGCAAACAGAGGCTAGGGACATTTCAGAGCAACTTTCCAAAGACTAATTGTATTGATAAGTGGAAAATTATAGATTTTGGCCTCTCTAAAGTAAAATATGTATTATATTTATATATATATGACATTATATATGGAATTTTATGTATATAGATAAAATTCCGTATATAATGTCATTTTGCTTAACTTAATTTTTTGTGCTATGGCTGGCCACAAAATCCTGGGTTACATACTGTATCATTGATTTGCTCTATAAGGAATATTAAAGCTATTATTCTTAATATTTAGACTGCAAAACTTACCTTTTTCTGTGTGTTGATGCACATTAAAGTAAAAGATGCAAAAGCTTTCCTAGATGAGTAAGAATGTTTGTTTTTCCTCCATAGGGGAAGAAGTCAGGAATCCTCAGAAAGCTATACCTATTGGAATTGTGACTTCCCTGCTTGTCTGTTTTATGGCCTATTTTGGTGTTTCGGCAGCTTTGACTCTTATGATGCCATACTATCTTCTAGATGAGAAAAGTCCTCTTCCTGTAGCATTTGAATATGTTGGATGGGGTCCTGCAAAGTATATTGTAGCAGTGGGATCCCTCTGTGCTTTGTCCACAAGGTAAAGAAGAAAAAACGACTAATTTTATTGGAAAATAAGATAATTGAAATATACTGTATTTATTTCAATGTATGGTCACACTTTTTATATTGAGGGTACATTTTCTTAAGGGTTAACATTTAATAAATATAAGCATGTTACAGACATGAGTAGTATGTGATCATTATAAACTATCTGTAGGAGTTGTGATTGTAAGTCATAATTATAAACAACCTGTTGGACTCTATAACAATTGATGAAAACATCCATCAATAAATAATCATTGGTAAACTATAAATGTAATCTTAATATAAAATGTGACCAAATATATTATTTTAGTTAGAAGAGTTGACTAGATTGTGAGATGTATTAATATGTATAGTACATGCATCTTCCTATATATTATAGCCCACATGTAATGTGGTATAAGAGCCTATTTACTTACATTTAGGAACAGCCTTAATATTCTCCTTTTCTGCTAACTGAGCTCATGTACATTACTAGAGTGGTTTAAATGGCCTCAAGAAGTGGGAGATGTATGAGTTCAACAGCTGGACTAAAAAAGAAGCAGGCTTGCCTATTTAAGGAGTACTGTTGATGTCATTGAGATAGTCCACGAGTAGTCATGTATAGAAGACAAGCATACTGATTGTGGAAAATAATTGAGTGAAAAACTCTGGGGTGGGAGATTATAAAAAAGAAAAGAGCTCTAAATGACAAGCTAAAAGAATCTTAGGCCTGTGTATATAGACTAAGTTGTGTTTGTACAGTTAGTTTTGGGACTATAATTTTCTCTAGTGATGCCTGAAGTGGATTCTAGCAGTTTTATGATTTTTATAATATTTTATAAAATATAAAAGCAAATGTTTAAATAGAAACTAGAGCAAAGAAAATAGCAACGGAGAAGAAAACTTTACATAGAAAGTAAAACCATTGGTTACCACATTTTAACTATTGATCTCCTAATTTTTCTTCCAAAGTATTTTAAAGTTTTTAACACCCAAGTTTATTCTGAGACGGGTAATATCTCACTTTAATGTTTTTAATTAAAAAAAATATCCTTTTACTTATAATTCCTTTACTTGGCAGTGTTGTAGGCTGATATGCTGGGAGTATTGCTTTGATCCGAACATTTACTTATTCCTGGGCCATGTCATTTGAGATTAAAACGTTTACAGTATTTATATATTTCCAATATTTACCAGAATGCAGTCTCAAGATGAGAAGAAGCATAATTAACTTCTACAAAGACAGTACAATAAAAATATGTAGAGATTTTGGTGATACCAGTATGGAAATATTACTTATTCTTCAAGTTCAGATTTCTTGGCCCTGATTCAGGAAAGCATCTTTATTGGACAAGGGCATTTAAGCACATGCTAACTTTAAGTAGGTACTTAAGTGCTTTCCTGAATCAGCACCAAAACCAGTTAAAGTGTGAATGATTGGTAGTGCTGCACATGCATTTAATTGTAATGCTACATTTCACAAGCAGTGCTAAAGTGCCTTAGCTTCTGTGGAACATAAAAGCTGCACATCCACTGAATATATGTAGGTGATGTATTCAATTCTCTGTAGCAAGAAAGGCAAACTGGCTGTATAGTAAAACCTCAGTTTCAGCTGGCTAAGAAGTTATATGGCTGTCGCAGAGGCTATACTGTGTGGGTTTTTTGTTTATTTGTTTGGGTGGGGGTTGTTAGTATGGTTATTTTGATGTGAAGGGAAGAAACACGACAAATTTTAAATGTTTTAAATACAGAAGGAGCTTTGAGTCATCTGTAGTTCAAAATGCTTTTCAAATTCTGAAAATATCAACGGTTTAAAATAAATAGTTTACCTTCAGTCCCTAAATAAAACCAGGAATAACAAGGTAGCTTGGCTCTGGGTGCTTTAACTGAAAGAAATAATAGGGTTAAGTGTAAACTGTGTGGTGCTTACTTTGAGTTACTATTGATTAACATTGTCAGAAGGAGCTGCAGAATGTGTTACTGCTTGTGTGATTCACTGTTGCTGACTGACAGAATCTTTCAAGGAACAATAATGCTTAATTGCATAGCTAGTGTTACCAGGGCCATCCTCCTGGTCCACTAGTATCCCAAGATCTACAGTGATGGCAAAAGTTGTTTAGCTATTTTTACTACTGTTTCCAGTGAAGCAATTGCATTACCACAGAATTGTGAACAAAACTTCTAGTGGTTTTCAGAAACAAAATAAATCTATTTGTGTCCAAACTGTAGTATCTTTGGTCTATGATATTTTTACCATCATAAATTTTGTTTTCAGTGAAACATGCCATTAATTAGCATTGTTTCTCTTTTCAATGATATAACCTTGCATGAATTGTGTTTTGCCATGTTGCATGTGTTTGCTTTTTACTCAGTCTTCTTGGATCCATTTTCCCAATGCCACGTGTAATCTATGCTATGGCGGAAGATGGGTTGCTTTTCAAATGTCTAGCTCAAATCAATTCCAAAACGAAGACTCCAGTTATTGCTACTTTGTCATCGGGTGCAGTAGCAGGTGAGACTGAGAGTTGATTATTGTAAGGAAAGGTGCACTGCTTCACACATTGCATATGTGGAAATCCAATACTGTCAGGCAAGTTTTGGTTTGCTTTTGACTGAAAGAATAAAATATGATTGTCTCAAGGTAAAATAACCTTTTTCCTACCACAGTGTGTATTTGTTTGTGTTAATCTCAAGTGCTTTGGAAGCACAGGTTCAAAAGAACAAAACAACATGAAAATAAGCTTTTCCTAGCTTCCCATTTTAGTTGACTTTACCAGTAGAACACAGTGCTTTTAATAATGTGTATTTGAACTTTAAATTTTTCTGTTCTAGTCTTCTCGGCTCTATGTTCCCTCTGCCCCGAATTCTGTTTGCCATGGCACGAGATGGTTTACTGTTTAGGTTTCTTGCCAAAGTGAGTAAGAGGCAGACACCAGTTGCTGCCACATTGACAGCAGGGGTCATCTCTGGTAAGCTCTGAAAACATAGGTTTCTTCAAACTGGGATTTGAACCTTGTATGCACGTGCATGGATTATAAGAAGGGCCTGCTTGTTAACTTCTCATGCATGTAAGTTGGGAATAAAATTGCTGACTAATTGAAGGGCATAAGAATTCCAAATCATGGCAATCGTGGTGGCGGTGATGTCCTTGATGTCAATGAACTTGCAACTTTTTGTGCGTTCTAAGTTTGGCTTCTCTTGCATTACAAACAAAACAGTTATTTACTTTGGGGCATCTGGAATAAAACTGTCTTTATAACTCAGCCATTGGACTATGCTCTATTGTGAGGCTTGGGTATAGGAAATTTGAGTTCAAGATTAATGTATTTAATTGTTTAGAAATACTAGGGGGAAATGTATTTTTGTTATAGGATACAAAAAAAGAAATCTTGAATAATCTTCAGTAAGGCAACTACAAAACAGTTTTTAAAAAGAAGAAATTTTATACATTCTTCACCCATAAAGGGCACGAATCCATTTTTGATACAGCTATTTTGCAAGGATCATTACGTATTTGTGCGTAATTTGTACGCACATACAGAATGCATCAAAGCAATATTTCCAGGAACTGTTACAACTGTAGTGTGCAAATTCCTACACTTCCAAGCGGAGATTTATTTCTTGTTTAACTCTTTCATTGTTGTCAAGATGCATATCTCTTGTATTGCTTAATGTACCTGGAACACAAATTATACCCTACTGATTTCAATGTAATGTCAGCTTTGCATGGAAAAGTGAGGGTAGACTGGCTCAAGATGATAAAGACCAAGAGATTCAGACAAGACTAAAACATGTATTTATTATTTATCATACTGTAGCATCTACAAGCCATAGTCATGCTCGGGACCCTTTTGTTCAAAGAGCTTTACAAACATATAGGAAGCCATGGTCATGCCCCAAATAGTTCATAATCTAAAAAATGGCCTTAATTCATCTTTTTTGTATGTCAAAGTACAAATCTATAATACGGAATTACTCTTATAAAGAGACACTTAATAAGATTTTCCAGACTGCTTTCATGTTGCACCAGATCCTTTTTCTGTAATATTTTGGAAAAATGTGGAAATTTGGTATCAAAAGTGATTTTTCATTTTAGAGGAATAATGAACCAACGCAGAAGAAGAGAAGGAAAAATGTTTTTCCCAGTTGGGTAAACTGATGAATGCAAATATGCAGTCTTTGTAGCAGCAGCACAAGAGCAGTAATTCAAAGCCAGTTTTGGGGGTGTAATTGCGTGGGTGGGTGGTATATTCTAACAGAACAAAACTTTTTGATACAGCAGGTAACTTTTTTTCTTTTTTCTTTAAGAAAATGTGTATCTAGTGACTTGTAGGTTTAAATTATGTTATGCAGTTTTGCTAGATCTGTTAAAAATGAACGCAGCATGAAAGTAATCTGGCATTCCTACTAAACCTTAGTATGGATAATCTCACAGTTTTAAACAGTGTTAAGAAGATTAGATTTTGACCTTTTACTATGTTATCAAGTCAAAACTACAGTTGAGGCCAAACATAAATACATGTATTTGTTCTTTTTCCCATATAATAATTATGATAATGAAATTCTGCAGACAGCAAAATGGTTCGCTTACAGTCCAATCGTATTTTATCAAAGGCAGCAGCCTAATGAGCCTAATGGATTTGTAGTGCTGCATACTTCCCTGAATTGTATTTGCACTTTAATGCAACAACGTGGGATGTGCACCTAAAATGAATCAACAAAGATTAGCTTCTGGTTTCCAACTATTTTGTGACAGGTTTGGCTTCTCTTCTGATAAGCAATGGTTAGAAGTTGAGTAAGCATCAATTATATAAAAGATTTATAGTTGTTGCAATTTTTATACCTACTAAGGGGAAAAAATTCATCTGTATGAACTATATATATATTAAAATTTTGAATACAATAAATATAAGCTTGTGTCCATTTTGATAGTATTTTTCTCTAAGCATATATTTGGTAGTTTTAACACTGTTTAAAGTGAGATTGTCTTTTTGTGGATGCTTTGTGTGCTTCAAAGCTCAACATCCTTTAAACTCTGCATAAGCTTTTCATATATAAGGGAAAGGGAAATATGGAGATTGCATCAGATAATATAAATATATTTACTTACCTTGCCAAAATGAATATATGTTCTACATTCATGGTGCTAACAATATTAAAGATGTACTATTTTCTGTCTTGCCACTAGTGTATTCAGAAATTTGAGATGTACTGTATAAATACTAATGTGGCTAACCTTCAAAAGCAGATTCTTTTTCAAAAGTTTCTTGGCCGTAAAGTCACGCATCTTGTTGATCACAAATAATGCTATAATTAAAAAGAATAAAAGTAAAAAACTGTAATATTTTAAATATAATAATCATATGCTATAATTAGCTAGAGTATGATAAAATTAACTTGTAATGTACAGGAACACTTTAAGACTGGAAGGATTAAAATTAACAGCACATTCTGCTGTCCCTCAGCTTTGCCTGTCAGTGCTGGTCTCCGAGCACCCTTGGCAGTGAAATATATGAGAAATCTTCTCACAGAATGCTTCATAGCTTTTGTACAAACCTCCCTGTTCACAAGACTAGTGAATGTAGGGTACTTCCATGATCATTAAGGAAATTGTATTCCTTGGTTAGTTATTAGTCCAGCAGATTAACTGGTATTTTTGGTAATATTGCAGTCTTATTTTTGGGAATTAATCTTTTCTGTTTTTCTTCATGATCAAAAAAGTGTGTGTGTGTGTGTGTGTGTGTAATATATATAAAATCAAGAAGTTGGGGAGGGGTATATGCTTTTTATTAGATCTATATCTGTATCTATCTATACACACACACACACATATGTAATATAAAAATAATGCATGCATTAGCATATACACACACAATTTATTTACTGTGACTATGAAGAGAAGTAAAGATCAGTGACAGTCACTTTGGATTCATGCCAGGCAAGTCAGTAAAACAGTGGATGCTATCTTTGCTTGTGTAAAAATATAGAGAAAAGAGGAAAACTCCACACATAGTATTCATCAGTCTTGAGAAGGCTTATGACCACATTCTGAGAGAAGGCATCTGGTGTATGGGAATGAAACAGATGTCTAAGACTATATCAGACTCCTCCAGGACACGTACAAGGGTGTTTTTATCACAGTCAGAAACTGAACAGTTTCTAGTAAGAGTTGGAGTACATCAAGACTTGGCACTAAGCCCCTTTGTGTTCATGTTAGTGCTCAATGCACTTAGAGAGAACATCCAGAGTGGCACCCTGGCACATGCTTTTTGCAGATGATGAAGTGCTTGTGGAGGGAGCAAAGAGGAAGCGGAAGAAGATTTAGAGAGATGGAGGTGCATACTTGAAAGAAATGGCAAGAAAATCAGCAGAAATAGAGTAACTTGCAGGAAGACAACGGGTTTATAAAGTGTGGAGGGCCAGCCACTACCAAAAGTACAGAAGTTCAAGTACCTAGGTTTGGTAGTACAGGATAATGGTGAACTCAGTGATTAACTTATACGCAGAACAGGAAAGGCATGGAGAGAACTGAGCAGAATGATCTGCAATAGGAGGAAGCCTATCAAATTGAAAAGTAAGATATATAAGATGGTAATTAGGCCATCTTCCAAAAAGGAAGGATTTTGAATACAAGGGAAATGAAAATGTTAAGAGGGATGCTTGGAGTTATTAGGATTGACCATATTTGGAATGAATTAATTAGGGGAGGTTTGAAGGTGATATCAATTATAGAACAGCTGACAGAATGCAGGTGTAGATGGTTTGGGCATATGAAAAGATAATAGGAAGAATATATTAAAAACAGGGTGTTACCCTCCACTTCTAAGTTTAAGAGGAGGATTAGAAGACCCAAAACTAGATGGATGCATGTCATACAGAAGGATCTGGTTAGCTCTGAGGATCTGCTTCAAGCAAACTGGAAAAGAGAAGGAGGATTCAAGCAGTCAATCCCATCTACATGGGGCTAAGGCTAGAAGAAGAAACACATTAGAAGTCACAGTGAAGTTGCCTTGCCAAAGAAGGCGTAAAATAAGCCACTTTTAAAACAATGCTGTTTATTAAAAAGTCATGCAATCACCTGCAAAATACTAAGATTTTATTCAGCCTGATTTAACATTTAAATTGACTTACTCTTGTCTATTGGCTCCAATTCAGCAAAGCATTTAATGATGTGCTTAATGGGATTTAACCAGGTTCTCAAGTGGTTTGCTGAATTAGGGCCATAGTACACACAAATTACATGTACCGGTTATAAATTAAAGTCCTGATCCAGTCTGTCTTGGATCCATGTGCATGTCATTAGATTGGATCCCACTGTCAGCTTGTGGTTTCAGGCTCTGACCATGCAAACCCTCAGCCTGTAGAATTTGAGTAGGAGTTCTATGCACAGCACGCTTGCAGGATCTGGCTCTTTGATAATTAAATATTCTCCAAAATTTTCTACAATACTTTAGTAAAAATAAAGTGTTATATTTTTAAGTGAGAAATGTTTTTACTAAACCTTATGTTAAATATCAGTTTTCATAGTTGAAAATGATGACATTTTTACATGACAGCAGTGAGGGGCCTCCTAAAATGTATTTTTCATTAAGTTCCTTCCTAATTGTATTGTGTTTACCCCTTTGTCTTAAACTTAAGAACTATTCCTACTATACAACTAAAAATCTGTCCAAAATAACCATATTAAAAATCACACAGCAGGTATATAGAGAATTATGGCTGCAAGGTTTTCATTAGTGTTTCCTAGATGTTCTCCGGGTGTCTTATATTTTAAAACAAAAAAGTAGGCCAAAATTTGTTAACTTGGTTGCCTAAAGTTAGTAGGCACCTAAATCCCTGTTTCGGTACACAAATAAATGTGATTTTCAGGACGTGTTGAGCAACCACAGTGAGAGCTATAGGTGCTCAGGGTCACTGAAAAGAGACCAATTATATTTCAGTGCCTACATATAGTGGTAGGTGTCTAACTCCAGGCAACCAAGTTTAAAAATGTGGGTCTTTACTTCGAAAATTCATTTTTATGCATTACCGTGGTTTCCTTTGTATTACTATTAGTAAGTCAACTACATAAACTCCATACATAGCCTCTTGAGCTGCCTTAAAAATCTTAGCTCTCAATATGTAACTTTTCTTACAAACTCTGTATTTCTCTCTTCTTTTTTTTAGCTATAATGGCATTTCTTTTTGACCTAAAGGCTCTGGTGGATATGATGTCTATTGGTACACTTCTTGCTTACTCACTTGTAGCAGCCTGTGTTCTCATCCTCAGGTGAGCCCCACCTTCACCCCCCTGTTTGTTCTGCTGTATTTTATTTTGTCCTATGCAGAATACATTTAAAATACAATTTCTGTTTGTATAACTTTTATTCTAGGTACATACATATTATAAAATTAGATTAACTCTTCTAAAATGTTAATCTGTGTGTGGTGTCTTAATTTAATGATTACCAGAAGTGGTGTCCTTTCAAAGTTGGATATACACTAGGAATAGACACAGTGTAATGCCAGTGTGGGCAGAGGTCAAATCCAAAACCTTATTTGAAATCTAGGAGGGTTTTACTTTCTGAAAGATAACTTACATGGTCTTCAACTTCAAATGGTGTAGTAGGACCTCATGTCAAAACACTGATACATTCAAAGCTAGAAACATATTTCTAATTTTACAATATAATTTATATTTTATCTCCTACTGTATACAGCAAGCACAGTAAATTGTGGGATCTATATGTGAATAGTGTAAATACTCTAATAAATTTTCTTCGTGGGCTAAATCCTGACCTTCTAGTGTATTTTCATCTTGTGAATCAATAAGTTAGGAGACTGAAAACAGATGCTTGGGATTTGCCCAATCCAGAATCAGCAAGGTCTGGACAAATCTGAGGAACTGTCCCAGAATGAGGTGTCATTAGAGGAGGTTTTGGAACAAATTGATAAATTAAAGAGTAATAAGTCACCAGGACCAGATGGTATTCACCCAAGAGTTCTGAAGGAACTCAAATATGAAATTGCAGAACTACTAACTGTAGTTTGTAACCTAGCATTTAAATCAGCTTCTGTACCAAATGACTGGAGGATAGCTAATATGACACCAATTTTTAAAAGGGGCTCCAGAGATGATCCAAGCAATTACATGCCGGTAAGCCTGACTTCAGTACCGGGGAAACTAGTAAAGAACAGAATTGTCAGACACATAGATGAACATAATTTGTTGAAGAGTCAACATGATTTTTGTAAAGGGAAACCGTGCCTCGCCAATCTACTAGATTCTTTGAGAGGGTCAGCAAGCATGTGGACAAGAGGGGATCCAGTGGATATAGTGTACTTAGGTTTTCAGAAAGCCTTTGACTAGGTCCCTCACCAGAGGCTCTTAAGCAAAGTAAGCTGTCATGAGATAAGAGGGAAGATCCTCTCATGGATAGGAAACAAAGGGTAGGAATAAATTATCAGTTTTCAGAATGGAGAAAGGTAAATAGTGATGTCCCCCACGGGGTCTGTACTGGGACCAGTACTAGTCAACATATTAATGAATGATCTGGAAAAAGGGGTAAACAGTGAGGTGGCAAAATTTGCAGATGATACAAAACTACTAAAGATAGTTAAGCCCAAAGCAGAATGTGAAGGGCTACAAGGGGATCTCACATAACTGGGTCACTGGGCAACAAAATGGCAGATGAAATTCAGTGTTGATAAATGCAAAGTAATGCACATTGGAAAACATAATTCCAACTATACATATAAAATAATGGGGTCTAAATTAGTTGTTACCACTC